CACCCACCCTGGAGCGAAAGTCCAAGCTGCCGCGCGTCACATCGCCGCTGGTGTCGGAAGTAGATAACGACATCCAAATCCGGATCCGGATGCATGGTGTACGGCAGAGTGGTAAAAAGCAGGCTGCGGCGGAGGCAACGTACGGCAGTAGTAGTTTAGGAGAGACGCAGTCGGCGCCGGTGGCGGCGCCGATGGCGATGCGAGGGTGGTCCTGTCCGACGTCGGCGCACGATGAGGTCAGAGCACCCGCCGACAGCCGCCGTTGCGTCAGGGCCAGCAGTGGCGGCAGCGGCAGCGGCAGCGCTGGCACCAGTAGCGAAGGCGCATGTACGGCCGACGAGGATGGCGGCGGCGAGGCCGGCCTCGCCCATGAGGTGATCAGCGGCATACTTACTGGAGCGGCAATGGAGCGATACCATCGGGAGCATGTGCGCCGCCGCCGGGCCGCTGCGACCACCGCCGCTGCCATACCCACTTCCGTTGCCGCCGCCAGCGGCGGCGGCGGAGAGGGCAACAACGTTCCGGACGCCGCCTCGTCATTCGACGACATCATCACCGGCAGGACCTCTAGGACCAACACCGCCGGCATCGACGGCACGGCCGCGGCCGCGGCGACCTTGCCGCTCCCGCTGCAGGAGCTCCAGGAAGCGCTGGGACTGCTAGCTTACACTGACCCACGGGTCAGGCCGTTGACGGCCCGACTTGTAGGTCCGGCTGCGCGCGAGACGCTGGCGGAACAGTTGAATGAGGTGCTGCTGGGCATGCAGGTGGGGCTGATTGGCAGTAGCGGCAGTAGCGGCAGTAGCGGCACCCGGGAGGGGTCCGCAGAGAGCTGTTGGGGTCCTAGGGGAGGGGAGGAGGCGAGCGATATCAGCCGCTGTACACGGGGGTTGGGGAAGCTGCGAGTGCTGGATGACGGAGGAGGTGGAGGACATCGCGACTCGACGGTACCCTGTTCGAACCCTGCTGGCTGCGAATGGTTTCGTAAAGAGTCGGGGTCGGTGGAAATGCAAGGATGTCAGAGCTGTGGCGCCGGCGGTGGGGCCTCTGCGGCGGCGGTAGGACGCCCTGACGGCAACGCGGGAAAGGGGCACCGTGCAGTCAGGACAGCGACGGCGACGGCGACAACGGCAAGGAAAGGTCTGGTAAAGTCGCCCTTGGAGTGTCTGTATCGTCAGTGTACGGTAGTATGGGACGAGCTCGTGGCGTCGTACAGCTGTCCGGAGGCACTATTGGTGGACTGGGAGGCGGAGCTGCTGCCGTCAGAGCCGGAACTTGCTGTCGTGGCTGCAGCGGGGGGAGTTTGTCGTAGCGGGCTGGACAGTGACGCTGACAGCGGTGGGGCCTGAGGGCCAATATTGGGCCACATCACACTGGCTGTGTCTCCCGTATTTCAAAGCCATGGAGGGGAAGGGCTGCGCGCGGTGCACGCGGAAGCATCAGCTGTATTCGTGATACCGTCGTTTGTGCGTACGGTGAGGTGCGGTGGGGTGGGGCCAGGATTGCTGCGGTATGTGCTGGTATGGTGTGGCATATCGTGTAGTGTATTGTTGGCCTTGGTTTCTTAAGCAGCAAAAGGTTTAAGCTCTTTCGTCACATAACACCGGGCAACGCTCGACTCTGGTAGGTGCTGTCCGGCGCTAGAGAGTGCTGGGGGGGGGGCCTGGAAGGTGGACAGTTGGATTGTCTGTTTGTTGCGGTCCTTGGACCCCTGGGAGGTGGACGTGGACGTGGTGATGGAATGGGGACGTGAAGTGAAGTGGGGCAGGTGGAGGCGGAGGCGCGGCTGTATGACGTGAAAATACGGCAATGTAACGCCGTACAGAGGACGGTACGGGACAAACGGCTAATGCTCGAGGACGTGTGTGCAAAGACATCCGGGCGCCCGCGGAGACACCACCCCTCCTGTAACTGCGGTTGGGCGGTTGGGCGGTTGGGGCGGTTGGGGATCCTCCAGGGAAGGGTGCGCGTATCGGCGATACGGTATCGCTGATAGGCGACAGGAGTTGTGCCTTTGTTCGGTTGACCGTTGGGTTCCCTTGGTGTGTGCTTTCATACCTACATCTCTTGTGGAGCTGTGTGGAGTGCGGCTGAGGAAAGAATTGGGCCGATTGGGGGACACGCGGAAGAAAGGTGGGCAAGGGCTTCCTGCCCCCCACGGGCGATCTGTCGACCTTGACGGCCGCTCAGTCTTCAACCACCAAGCAGACATACGTACATACAACCGGGGCCGCAACACACATATGTTTACTTCCTCTCCCATCGCTGTCTGTACCCGCGGGTGTGTGCTTGAATGAGATCTTCGGAGCCGCTACGAAGGAAAGATTTGCCTTAACGAAGCAAGCTCCGTGTTCCCGCAATTATAATTGAAACTACGAGACACAGCTGCTTAACTTTCAGATAGATGTACAGTATACCAGTGATATCAAGAGCCCGTAGTTATTTGCGATCACCGTAATTGGTGAAGGGCACCTAAAACTGACTAAATACAGCGAGGGCATCTGACCTGTATATGCGTCTGCGTGCATGTGTATCTGTATCTCTCCCTCCCCTTCCCACTTCTCATGCCCAATACCCATCCATGCACAGACGCTACAACCACACATACACATGCACGTGCGCATGAATCCACTAGCAACAGAAGAATGCCATTGACTTACATTAGGTGTTATGGCATGGGAGGTCTGAAGGAACAAGAGAAGCATTTAATCACACTTACATTAGGTGTTATGGCATGGGAGGTCTGAAGGAACAAGAGAAGCATTTAATCACAACTTCCTCTTTATTTGACCTTTAAAACATACTAGCGCGAGGTTATAGGCTTTTTACTATGATGAGAATACACACGGGAATATGTAAACAGACGCAAGGCAAAGCACCAAGTCCGATACTACGAGGCTGTGCCCGTTCGTGCAGCAGCCAATGTAATGCCGCCGTCACAATACCAAACCGTTCCGTCACATCATCTCTTCCCAACGATGATCCTGGTCGAAGCTGCTTGCGATGCACAATGAAATCCCATTTTGCGAATCCTCAAAAGAGGATACGAGGATGCGAAATGAGCAGTGATATTCATACCACTCTTGATCATCATCTAGCATTATTCGTAAACGGCCACAGAAACTTCGTGGGCTATATAATGAGATATATAGCATGTGTCACCACACACAACACCACATACACACACACACGCCTGGCGTTCCCGAGCTAGGATTAACACGCCCTGCGCCGGAGAAGAAAGCCAGGTGTCCCCGGTATCTCCGACACAACCGACACCGCCTCCCCGCAGCTTCGCACTCTCCAAAGGCGAAGGCTCCAACCAAATAATCCTAGGAAAACTACTCGTACAATTCACATACTGCGAGAGTAACAGCACATGTCGGCTTACGGACGTGAAGAGGTCCTTAACGCGGCGCACTGCGGCGCAACGGACCGGCTGCTGCGTCTCCTCCTCTTCGCCGCCAGTGAGAGGTCACACCAGTGGGGGAGTACTCCAACGAACCGATCGCCCACTGCCCTCGTGTGTCGTCGTGTCCGTACACCTCCAAATGACCGACCACACGGGCCTCTCTTCCGCCACCTGTCTCTGCCACCGAGCTGTTACCGGAAAGGGTGTGTAGACCGGTGTCTACAAGCAGAAGTCCCGATCCCCCTGCTTGGTCCACTAACACTCCTGTCGTAAACACACACACACACACAAACACACACACAAGCCACGTTTTAATGAATCCCACAGCCATCCAGCCACCGTCAAATAACCATTATTCCGCTCCCAGTAAAAAGGGGTATAAATAGGCGACAGACAAGCAACGATTTGGGTCACAGTGGGGTCCCACCCTGACGTCAGGTCGCTTGTTTGGGCTCCCACAGGCTCCATATGCATCATAGTGTAGGATCATTCCCATCCGTACAAGCCGTACAACAGACTGGACGAGTTACCGTACTCGCTAACCGGCAACCTTGACCATACGTGCACATATACGCACATACATACATACAGACGTGCTACTGCCTCACCGCTGCCGCTCTCACAGGTGCCGCGGTGTGTACGTCTTCGAGCAACCCCGCAGCTCAATTAGTAGCATCATCACCACCAAACCCTAAGGACCTGAAACACGTGCTGCACCAGCTCTGCTGCTGGGAGGTCGCTAAATTCGCTTTTGGTTTTAACAATAATAACACGGCCCGTTAGCCAGGGTCCTGTACGACAAAGAAAAACGCCAGCCCTCGGATCCACGGCGGACACGCCCACAAATAAACATACAGACAAACCTGCTGATGCGAAAAAAGATAAATCCCCGGGGTTCGAAGTTCCAACGTCCATCTCCACATCCGAACAATCTTCGATTTTATATGGCATCCTCCTTCGTACAGCGACGTGTCAATGTGAAGCGTCCACCGCGCCGGCGCCGTCTGGTTCCAAGCCCGCCGTGCTGCACGACACAACACGGCAATGCCTTTGAGACCAACTAGCACGGAGCTTCATGCCTCCTTGCTTCCAACCGTTGTCAACGACAACGACAACCGCGGGACAACTCGCTGCGCCGTCCGAATTCTCTCATCCGAATAACCATAGCATCCCCTAATGGGCCCTAATGCCGGCATTCATTTAGCAACACCCGTCATTCAGCTCGAGGAATAACGAATGGAACAAGCAACGAGCGAGAGTCACTTCCATTATCGAAATCACAGGAGCAGCAATCAATCACAACCAATCTCGCCACTCCGCAGGCAGGGGCCGTGCAACTCTCCCCGCGCTCTCTAATAAGACGGACTGCGGCCTGAATCCGCCAGCCAGCCTTCACTCAAGGAATTTCGTGAGTTTTGCTTGTTTCAAACTTTAAGTATTTAAACCCTCGGCAAAGCCATTTCAAGTTCTGACGCAAGCCGCTCTCCATAAGCCAGGTCCGTTCGGACGGATAAAATCCCTCAAAATCCCTTCGGGGGCAACTTTTCCTTCTTTCTGCACTGTTCCGACATCTGATGCCTCCGCGATGCCCTCAAGCGCCAACAAAGCAAACGGGCAGCCAGCGCAGAGCCGTTCGCCGCTTCCGTACTTCGTCGTACAGGTCCTCTGGATCCACTAGCCGGCCCGCCGCCGCCGCCAAGTTGGCTTCGCCATTCCCACGGCCCGTTTTTCGCCCAGAGAGAAGATTAGCTGCCGTACTGGCCGTCCTTAGCTGCTGGCCACATGCCTCGCCCGATCCGCTGCTGCGCTCGCCAAGTGCTCTCAAACGCAAATCTACCGCCGCCAGCAATACCACACTTTGAATCAGCGACCCCGCCGTGGACTGCTCGCTTGCCGTCGCGGCAGCGGCGCCGGCTGCTGCTGTGGCTGCGACGCTGCTACAGCTGCAAACCGCCTGCAGCTGCGTCACGCGCTGCTGGAGATAAGCCCGATCTTGTTCCAACTGATCAATCTCACTGTCGAACAAAATCATATCCTGGACCCGAGCCACTAGTGACCATGCCGCGTCCTCTAGTCCGCTGCCGCTGCCGCCATCCTGCCCCGCGCACGACTGCCCTGAGCCGCTGCACCCGCGCCGTACGTCAGGTGTACTGCAGGCCGCCGCCTTGCCGAGCCGCCGCAGCAGACTCATTCGCTGCTCTTGCTGCTGCTCTTGCTGCTGCAATGCAGCGTTTGCCGCTGCAAACATGAACATCGCGGTGCCGCAAATACAGGGGCCGCAGCCCCCCGGGCCACAGCCGCAGCGCCTACATGGCGACGCGGCTCCGGAACCGCCGGTTGGGATGTGCTGCACTCGGGCCCCGGACCAGCCGGCGGCTGCGGCATCACGTGCAAAGTTCGGCAGGTCGCTGCCCAACAAGTTGGCCGCCTCGCGCGCGCGGTTGGAGGTTCCCAGCAGCGCTCGGATGGAGCTCTGTAACGCCTCATCAGAATCGTCCGCGCGGCCGCGTTGCGCCGTCGACCTGCGGGAGGAGCGCCAGGAGGATGGTACATGAACGCAAAGCAAAGCGGCTGTGGCCCAAACGAATCGTGAATTCATGCATGTACATTGTTGCGTGGGTCTGCATATGCGCCTGCATCTCCTCTGACCCCCCTCCAGCACCGCCTGAGACCGCCGGATACAGACAGCAGATGTGATGAGTCCCGTGCTGCGGACATACGCTCGTGCATGGTGTACATCTATGGCTGGGTGGGTGGGTGACTTTGGCGCACAGGTAGACTGTGGCATCAAGCGGCCGCAGCGATGAGGCCGTATACCGCAGTAAGAGGTAAAGGTCGCTTGGCAGACACGCTGGCAGCTGTTTGTTGCTGCAGTCAAAGCTGTCGCCAGGCAAAAGCCCCTAACCCACCTCATAAAGGTGCTGATACCGACAAGCTGAACTGTCAAAGAGCGAAAGGCGCGGTAAGTCTCAAGCCATGCCGCGGGATGCTCCAAAAGAATTCCCAAGACCCCCTCGCCGTCATGCCGATTCAGGCCCTCAATCGCAGTCTGGAGCTGGGCCATGGCTGCAATAAAACCCTATGAAGATAAAAAAAAGATGAACATAATTTAATACGCTTCGCGATTGGTCATTTGACAGTGACGGGAAAGAACAATATGGCAATCGCTTTCGGTTTGAGCACGAGGGTCAGTTAGTTTCCGGCCTACCTGCACATACTCAACCGCCTGCCCAGCAAGGTTCTCATCAGTCGAGGCAGCGCCTTCGAGCGCTGACAGTGCAGCCGGCAGGACCTGCGCGGCCAAGCATGGAACGACAAGGTCCTTAAGTAGCACGGTCGCAGGGCCACAGCATACAAGGCAGGCAACGTCGCGCCGCAACGCGCCATACTCGCGTGCTATACTATTTTCACGGCGAAATGCACGTATCCATCCATAGTGTAAGTCGCCTGAAGAGCGCCGCGGCCTAAAGTGCCCGTAGCAAAAAAGCGAGCAAATCACGAAGCGTGAAATAATTCACCTTTATGCAACATTCAACGACAGACGAGCAGTCCTCCACGGCATGAAGGCTCTGTGCTGCTACCCTCGCTAGGGCTTTCGCTGCCGCATTGGCTTCAACGATACAAAGAAGTAGGTCCATTTCTTCCTTAAATGAATGTACATAGAACGCTTTCGATCAACCTATATGAGAAGAGATTGTGAGTGAGAGCGCCATGCGTAACTGGACCTGCGCCGTACAGACACCATGACTATTGTAACGTCAGCAGGAGTTGCCATACTCAGATCTAATCCAGGAAGATCCTCTTGGGATTGAAGATTTTATTGCCATGATCTCGTGCATTGCACGTAAGTTGCTATACTTCAGGAACAGTACGAGGGGCCAAATAGAGCGATGTCATGCTTCGTCATACCAGGAAGCAAGGAAGTGAGAAACACATATTCAAATATAGGATTATCACATGCATTCAACTGCACACTGTTTCTTATCTCACAAGAGCTTCGCAGTGGTCCTGCAAAGAGAGCGATTCGTAAAGCGATTCCGTCAAGCTAGACCTTAATGTGTTTACTCATTCCTAATTGAATAGTGATATTAGGTTTGCACATGCAAATGCAGGCACAATGAGCATGCATCAAGTTAGGATGCCTTCACAAAAATTCGTGAGTATCAACCAACCGCTCCGGGCCATCAGCCATCGGCCGCAAACACCTTTCGTATACGGCGTATGATCCCATTTTTGCAAGCCGGCCGGCTTCGGGAACTCTATTTCTATTTTCGGGAGTTTCGGTACGACCCGAAACTCCAGAAGCGTTTGCCGATGTCTGTGAGATAGCTATATGCTTCTCTGGTTCTCTACGTTTAGGCATGCTACCTTATAATGTCTATTGATGGCCAGTCCACGTGAGGATAGGTTATCGTCTGTGACAACGTAATGGTTGTCCATGTAGCCTGCCCAGAACTTTAGTGCGCTTAAGTTCAGAACAGTCAATGCGCTGCTGAAGCAACCCAACGAAACCTTCCCATTACTAAAAATAACTTCTCTACGGTTGGCATGTCTGCCCTCCTGTCGATGACTTGCAGGAACGACTGGTACCCGTTTCTAAATGTTTTAGACAATCTGACTTCGCTATAACTACTGTTTTTGCGTGCACACCAACCTGCAGAAAAATGCGTAGCTCCCATGGTATAACGGGTTTCGGCAGCTTCATGCATTTTCCTACACTCCTTAACTATTAACTGCTAACCAAGCAATTCACCGTGTACTTTCATGCTGAACGAAACAACCGTTGCGCGTTGCGGCCAGCAATTCCTGCAACCTACAACCCATTGCGGTGCAGGTCGGTAGTGGCCCCTACTGGACACGTCCAATACGAAGTACTGCGTCTCCTTTCCGCGCCCCGTTCCTTAGGGCGCTCGTGGGCCAGGACCACACGCACAACCGCGGAAGGAAGAGTATCAGCATCCGATAGTTGTAATGACAGAGCACATAAGCACCCGACGGTTGCAGGCTCCGAGAAACGGTTACATGGCCCCTCAGCTTGGGCACAATAAACGCTCATCCCGACACACCAGCGCCAGCCAACCAGCGAGCCTCCCCCAGAACCCCGTTCGCGCTCAAAGTCGCCTGCTCTTTGCAATCTTGGTCTTGATACCAGTTGCCTCGCCGCCATACGCCACCGATTCCGGTTTCCGGACAGGCTGCACCGCACCCTTGACGCGAACCATGGCCTTCTCAAACTTCATCCTGCAAGAGCGCGGACAGGAGAATCACAAGCGTCAACACTAAGAATTGTACCCTTCCACGCTTACGGATAACCTCCTTTCGGAAGCAGCTAAAACGTTTCCTGAACGAAGGAGGACTGCAGGGCTTCTTTCCATTACCCGCATGTTGCATCTCCCCAAATCTAGGAAAAAGCTGGCGACTGCCAAAACTTCCTTTTTCGGTTCCCATGTTCAGCCGCACGGACGGACATCCACCCATGGGCATTCGCAAAAAGCACTTTCCTCTTATTTCCATTTGCCCGGCTGGCCACCACCGCATTTCAATCATTTCCAGCCTTCTTCCTCCACACCGTTCGCTACAGCGTGAGTTACCAAAAGGCCAGGTAACCCCCGCTAGGTAGGGCCCCACCCGCCATATATGCGGGGGTCCTGGGTCCTTACCACACGGCTGAGCGGTGGCCCGCAGGGTCCAACTTCGATCGGTGACTTCGACCTACAATCGCCCATTCCTAATGCATATCACGCATTAATGACATCCCACTCGCACTGACTCGCGCATCTACACACTCCCGGCCACGCCTCGCATACACGCATATCACAAGTTCCCACCTGTTCTTCTTGCGTGGGTTCTTCTGGTCGCGCCGGCGATGTGGCGTCAAGCCGCGGTTGCGCTGAATCTCTTCCGTGATCCCGCGCGCGGCAGCGGTGGTCGGATCAGGCGCCGGCGGCGCCAGCGCAGGTGCTCTGTGCGCCTCGGCTCGAGCCTTCTTGCGTGCCGAGGCGTCAGCCTGTTCGTCACCGTCGGATAAGAGGAGCGGGAGAAGAGGGGTTTCGGCTTAGGACACACGAAGTCCCGGTATAGCCGCATTGAGGGCAGGGAGGCCTGCACATGCATCACCCCAGCCTCGGCGCATGGTGTGGATCGGTTGACAGGGAAGTACGGCGCATGCTATGCGCGTTCGCCCCTATGCTGACTCAAACTCGTGGCCACGAACTCCTTTCGATATCAACCCACGGTTGCCCCGCTATCCAACACCCCAACACACACATGAAGCCGACGGGCCGCGTACGCGGGGCGCAAGCAAAACGAGAAGTGAGCTTGCTGGCTGCGTGAAGGCGTGTGGACGACAATGCCAGTTGATCTAAACGTACCTTCGCCTGCGCGTAGAAGTCATCCTCCTCGCCGACCGGCCGCCGCTTTCGTGCGCCCTTGGCGCCTCCAGCCAGATCATACTCATCAGCGCCGCCAAAGTCCTCGTCACTTGCAGCACCAGCCTTGGCCGTTCGCCGCGCCGCCGCCGCATCAAACTTGGCCCGCCGCTCGTGAAGTGGCTCCCGCAGCGGTAAATCCTCATCGCCGCCATGGGGCCGTTTCGACAGCGATGGGTGGTCGGCGCCAAAGCGCTGTGAGACCTTCTGACGCGCAAAGAGGTCATTGATCGCGTTGCCACGTGCCGTGGCCGAAGTGCCGGCGGCGCCAGCTGACCCACGGGTCATGTCGACCAGGTCCGCCACCTCGTCCCCAAAGTCCTCCAAAAGCCCTGGCGGGCCCGGACATGGTTACAGCAGCGGCGACGGGCAGCGGCAGCAGCGTGTCATCCTAAAGGACAACTAGCGCGCGGTAAACTACTTAGGGCGGCGTCATTTGAAGCATCCAACACCACCACGCCACCGCCACTGCTGGGCAGCGCAACGTCCCGCACCTCCTAAACGCGGATCTCGACCCCAAAGAGGGCCTAAGCCTCACTCATACGCGCCCTCGTAACCATTCTCTTCCCCCCCCCACACACACACCTGCGCCGCTCATGCCCGCCCGTCGTTGCTGCCGCAGCCTCTTGGCCTCGTCCTTGGACAGCGGCACACGGATGAACATGTCCTCCTCCACCGCGGCCCGCGCCTCCAACTTGGCCCGGGTGCGCAGGGCAGCCAGGGAGTCCAGTCCCGCCACCGCAGCCCGCTCCTCCTCGGGGGCACCCGCCAGCTCCGCAGCCAGGGCGCGAAGCGTGTCGCTGCGCTTGGCCCTGCGCGCAAAGGACAGGGAAGGAAAAGCAGAAAAAAGGGGCAGGGACCGGGGTTGAGGGGGCCGGGGTTTTTGCGTATCTGGGAACAATGCCTCTCACGCAGGCTCTGCACCCTCCAAACTACCGCATACAGTTACTGATAGCCCCGCGTCCTTCACGTTCACCTCTGCGGACTGAAGCTTTGCACCCATTCCGCCACGCCCCACAGGCCTGGCGCGCGGCCAGTGGGGCCCGCCAGGCCCCACGTACGAGCCGACGTAAGGACTGAAGGACGGACCGACAAGCGGACCGACGGACAAACGATCGCACTCACTTGAATTTGAGCTCCTTGAGTCGGCGTTGCTCCTGAGACGACAGCCTGGCCCCTGCCCCTCCCGCAGCCCGCTGCTCGTCCAGCTCCATTGAGGTTGGGTTGATCTTGGGTGGCCGGTACAACCCCCCGGGCTCACCTGCCGCCAGTGTGGAGCCGGGGAGGGTGGATGGGCGGACAGGTTGAGAAGATTCGAGGAGTACGGCAGGGTTTATCAAAGGAAAGGACGGATTTCCTAGGAGTTCCTCATTAGGGAGGACACGGATGCACGACGGGTAATAAACGTGAAAAATTGGCAGCAGCAGCCACAGTGTCAGCTGTCGCTACAAATGCTACACCTGATTAACAACACAAATCACTGGCACAAAGGTTAAAAAAGCCATTTGTCACCTAGGTGACCTCTACTCGCTAAATAAGTTTAGCAGGAAGGAGACGCGCGGCACATAAAGGGGGAAGACACCAGGCGGAGTCAATCCTGACGCCACCCGTCCTGTCCGGGAGGGGTGCCAAAAATGAAGCACGGCTATACGCGGCAACCGCGTCTACACACCTGACCCACCCGCAGCCACTATCGAACCCTCACGCGCACTGAATCGAAACAACTTACAAGGCAGAACCCCGTGTTCCTTTTCGCGTCTGATAGGACAGGGCCCCTACCTGCAGTGCCATTATCGCCCGCGGATCCCCCACTACCCGTCGCCTTGACCTTGGGCACCAGCGCGTCAGGTCGCGGCCCGTACTGCAGCTCATCAGCGTCCATAGCCGCCGCCGCAGCTGCCGATCCCGGCCCAGGACCTGCCACCGCCGCGTCGCGGCCCTCGTCCGGTGCGAAACCCCCGCGGCCATTGGCCTGCGGTGCCGCCGATGCCATTTGCGCCGCCTTCAGCAACTTGTCGATCTGGTACGACAGTTGCTTGTCAATGGGCCGGATCTTCTCCAGATACGCCCGGAGCTCCACAAGCCTGCGCGCGCCATGACATCGATTACACGGTACAGAAGTTGGGGGCACAAGTGCTTAACGAAGACCGGATGCGGCGTGAGAAACGGACGTCGGAATGTTGTTTGTATGCGGGGTGTGACAGGGTACACTGGGTCGAGGTTTCGCAGGTTCCTATGCATGTGGACGCAGCTGGCATGCGACCTTGGTGTGCGGGGCGGGCGACACCGAGGCGTGAGTGCGGAGGACGGAGGGGCGAAGACAGAGGGGCAAAGGCCGGTCGGAGAGCTGCTTCCGATTTGGGTCTTTACTGGGTTGTAATGTGCGGACCACCCGGTGGGGCACCTGCGCATCTGCGGCGCGGGCACAACTTTCCAAAGCAGCCAGCGGAGGCAGGAAGGCCCCAAGGCTCTCCTCTTTTCCCCCTTTTTGTCGGCAAAGCGCAAGCACCGGCACGCCACGGAATGCCGACGTGATGGTGACTCTAGCCGCCGATGGTGCGGTAGGTGGACATACATGCATGCTCACAGTAAGACAAAAGGGAGGCAAGGGCTTTGACAGCTTCCTGTTTGCACTTGCCCCCCGAGACCTTCGAAACCTCTTCGTCCTCAGTCGCGTTTCCTTAACCCAACAAAACCGCGGACGCACCGTTCGTGCCTGCAGTGCTTTCTAAAATCGACACGCATTCCCAAAATGCTTGCAGGGATATACATATGTATATCAGCTGACGCACATAGGACTGCGACGTCGCAGGTAACGGGATCACATCCGAGGTAAACATTGTGCGTGCGTTTCCTTGCGTGTAAGATATATATGCAGAGCAGACATATATGCACCGGCACGCTGCTATGCTGGCGATTCGGCCCTCCAGCCCGACTACTGCGCGACGGCGCCCGACGCTGCACAAGGTGGCAGAACGACCGGGGGTTCATTCTTGGCAAAGCACAAGCACCGGTGCGCCACTGCCGGGGGCGCACTAGTGACTCTAGCCGCCGATGCATCATGCTGTGCTACTGCGTGCAGGTGACTCTTGGGCGCCTGTGGACTGGAGTGAATGCAATAAGTGACCGGTGCGAGTTTATTAAAATAATAAACTAAGGTGGGCCTCCGAAGCGCGAGGACTTGCCAGAGGGCATATGCAGGTGGAATGTGCTGAGCTGTAAAGCGTTAACGGAAGCAGCGAAGTGCACCTGGGCTCGTGCAACAGCAAGGGTGCCGGCAGAACCGACATCTTAAACGGTAGACCCACTAGATATGTGCTTAACGAAAACAATCACTTGGTTTTCATGCATATCACATATCATGGGCCGTATGCGTGTGATGTGAGAAAACAGGCAGTGCGGGTACATGCACGCATGTGGCATATCCGGTTGTGTGCGCAGGGGCGCCCAGCGGCGCCAGCAGCGGTAGCCGACGATGCTTCACGGACGTCTCAGCGGGCAGCAGCCCTCATCGGGCTGAGCTGAGCATCTCTCTTGGCGAAGCTTCAGCACCGGCACGCCACTAACGGCGACGTGCTAGTGACTCTAGCCGCCTATGCAAGATATTTATTTGGACAACCAAACCTCAACGACCTCATCGAGGTAATGTCTACATCCATTAGATATCAAGTCCAGTAGATGCTCAATAATGTGCGACCGAAATAGCCTCAAAACGTGTAAGCCGCAACCCTGGCGAGGCTGCAAAACATGCTTTCCCTTCGCTCTTCCCCAACACATAGGCGGCCAAGCTGATGAACATCGTGAAGTGCATTAAGAGATGGTAGAGGAAATGTAGGCTGGGCTGAGCGGTACTGCTGACGGCGACTGGCGCACACCAACACACGGCTTTCCGTGAGCCACCCAGCCTTGTCATTTCGGCAAAGCTCAAGCACCGGCATGCAACTGACGCACGACATGATGGTGACTCTAGCCGCCGTACTGTCATTAGACAGGTTATGGCCAGATTGTATTACACTATGGGTTATAGTTTCACGATATATAACGCTATAATATATTAAACCAGCGGTGCGTTCCTTGTGGCTCTGTTTGAGTCTCTCCTTGTGACGGCACTAACAGGTGCATCTCCATCCGTGTACAGGTCGACAGCTAAACCCCACCCCATACATCGCTTCGCCTGCTGCCCAACGTAAAATGTTCAGCAATCTTTTTAAGTTCAGTCTTACCCGCCAGTCAACAAAGAGATTTCTGTCTGGACCCAACCTTAAACCCTCCTCACCTGGCAATGACAGGGTGATCCCGTACAGGCCTACCCTCCGCCTTCATCAGCAGATAAAACACAATGTGGATGCAGTAGCTCAGCAACAGCAAGTACTTGGCCTCCAGGTACGACAAGCCCTCTGTCGTACCAAGACCCCCCTCGCGCAGCTCCGTCAAAACTGGCATTACGCGATGCCGTACCTGCCGTACCAGGGCGCAATAGGATGTCAATCCAATTTTGGACGAACAGGAAAAGTAGGATGCACACAGGCCGCAAGGACATGACATGACGGGGCGCAGCAAAAGGGCCAAGGTAAACCCCTGCTAGCCCCCCTGCAATCACCGTGTGCCCATCCAGAGTGGGTTGGATGGGAACACATTTCCTAGCGTTGCCTTCCTCCCTTTGCCCTTCCGCACCTCCGCGAGGCTCTCCTGCAGGTCCTGCAACAGGCTGAGCAGTTCGGGGGCATCCGCCATCAGCGCCGACATCCGGGCATCGTGACCCAGAGCGGACAGGTCGCGCGCCACTGCCTCCACCTCCACCTGGCCCTGTCGCTTCCCGCTCCCCATCTTGCCACCCTCCACCGCGGCTGCGCGTGCTGCCGCCAGGCCACCCATAGTCGGACCCTCATCCTCCTCGCCCTCGTCAGTCTCCTCCATATGGTCCTCGTCCTGGTCTTCGAGTCCAAAGTCCGCTGCCGCCAGCTTTGCAGCCCGTGCCCGCTGCAATGCCAGCGCCTCCTGCTCCTCCTCCTTGAGCGCCTCTTCATCGCTGCCAGCCTGCGGTGGAGGGCGGGTCCCAGTGTAAGCCGTTTGGCGCAAGACGCGACGCAAGGCGCACTAAGAGCGGGTGACCACGCGCCACGTAGCAGTGTACCAACCTCGGCGGTGTCCGCATCATAGTAAGCGCGCTTACTAGCACCCCAAAGCCGCTCGCCCTGGTCGTTTCCTTCCCCCTCTCGCTTTCCGGCCCTGCCGTCTTCCTCATCATCCTCATCCTCTTCGCCCCGTTGGAGCTTGAGTTTCTGGCCCAGCGCCTTAGCTTGCTTGGCAACTGCGTTATGAGGCGGTGGCAGGGTAGGAACGGAGTATGGGTAAGGAGTAGGTTCCAACGTGGAAGGCTTTGGTGTACATATGTGGGTGCCGAAGCATCTACTGGGATTCCACAGGGGATGAGTAAATGGGAATCGGGAGAGTCGTGCCAGGCAGGAGCAAGCGCAGCTGGGAGCTGGCGGGAGCCCGAGCTGAATTCAGATAGACCAGTAGGCATGCTGTACTATAGCAGGAAAAAGGGCCTCAAAGATACAGAGCATACACGCAAGTTCCGTGTGGGTGCGGTGCATATTTAATTAGACCCCGCGCAATCGCCGCCGTTTGTCGCAACGCACGTTCGGCTATTCGTCCGCCACGCTTCAGAGCGTCCTGGATGATAGCTTCTTCGTCATCTTCATCGTCGTCCTCCTCTTCGTCCTCATCCTCCTCCTCGTCTTCGCCACTGTCATCCAAGTTGTAGACACCCTCGACGTCTAGGCCATCGTCATCATCCATATCATCGTCGTCTGACATATTCAAGCTTATCTTATCCTTTTTGCCTTTAAATGCATCTTCATCACTGTCGCTGTCTGGAGAATCTTCAACCCGTAACTTGCGGGCTTCTGAAGGACCAAGCCTTTTAGCGGCTGGTCGACGTTGCAGCTTCGCCATAGTCGGCACAGCCGCCCAGCACTAAAAGCAAGCCTGGGTTTCGGCCGCTTGTGTCAATTATCTGGCGGCGCTGAAACCAATTCTGGAGTGAAGCAGGAATTAAATACTATTATATTAACGCTATTTGGTTTTACACATACAAGATACAATCTTTGCAGCAAAGTCAGAAATTGAAGCAACTAGACGAGCTCGTGCTTGTCCACCCCAGGAAAGGCGAACGCCAGCGGAAACTGTGGAGACCTTGAAATAATCAACGCATGAATAAAAGACCATCTGTGAGTAAACAAGGAAAATTTATTGGCTCGCTATTGTACGATTCCGTTGGCTTGGCGACAAATAATGCCCGCGCGTGGGCCAGGTGGGAATGTGGGGGTCAGGTGGACTTCGTTAGCAACGCCTACTGCGGTGGGTATTTGAGTGTAGGGTGCTTTGGTAGGATAGGGGTCCAAGGAAAACGCATAACGGCAATTCGGCGCATCAATACGTTAGCGTAGCGGAATTCTCTACGGAGACTGCTGCGGGTCGCAGGAGTAAGGGAAAGACTGAAGACCGCTAAGCATTGTGATGAGGTTTGCTTTGGAACTTTTGGCTTGGGTTCATGTGGGGTTGCATGGGTTCATGTGATAAGACAGTCGCACTGCACGAGATGGACTGGAGAGAGGGGCTGTACGCGAGGGGGAAAATGCGCTGCAATTCTAACCACCTTACAGATGTTAACCGTGCTTCGTCTTTAGAGATACTACGATGGGGACCGATGGCTACGCACCAAAGCGGTTAGGCCATCGCATTGGGTGCTTCGTTCATTCTTCCTATCCCAGGCAACAACAAGAAGGCTGCGATATATTTACATTATTATAAGCGATAATCGCAAAAGTCTGCAATCCATACATGCACTCTTGCCCAACATAAGGGATCTCTGCAAATCAGCATATTTATCCTTTGCCGTATTTCTCGCACGATGCCCTGCACAATTGTACTTAAAGGTGAGGGGCACATTCACGCTGTCGCCGCATCAAGGCACCATAAGGCCCGCTCGACACGTTTATAGACCTTTGCAGACCATTGTAGTCGATTGTTTGTGATTGCTCCACAAAGTTTTGTGGCACAATCCATTTTCAAGGACGCCACGGAAAGGTGTTGAAGTCCTCTTGGGGACCTCGGTGGTGTCGGAGAAATGGTTCTCCCCGAACCTGTTGTTTTGAGTCTGATTCCGGCGGCTTCCATCCTTGGCATCATATTTGCGATTTTCCTATGGAAGAGAGTGTCAGCTATCCAGCTGACTGGCGGCCGCCTCATATCGAGCCAGAATGGCCGGGAATACCTGCTGGAAGAGCAGCAGGGTGGTGGTGAGGAGGAGGTAAGCGGAATTTCCCTAGAAGATCTTGCGAGCGAAATGATTGCATCTGAAGTCAAGGACACGATCGCCGGAACGTGTCGGTGAAATTTTCCTGACAAGCCCTTTTGCGCATGTCTGAACGATGTAGGTTGTTGCTAAGGCTGCTGATATCCAGAAATCTATTTCGGAAGGTGCCTCGTCCTTCCTGGCCACCGAGTACTACTATTTGGGAATATTCATGGTGAGCTTCTTACCTTACTGGCGATTGTGGCGTGCGTTGTGAAGCTTTGGAAAATGTTATGTGCCGCCCGGACAAGACAGATTGGGGGGTTCGATTTACAGCGGATTCGGGCTGGCGAATGAGCATGACGATGCTGTTGGCTATGTCCCAACCCATGGATCCCGTCAGGTTATCATGGCAGTTGTCATCTTCTCCTTGCTGAGCATTGTGAAGCCGGAGGGCGACCGCACCCACAGCGATGAAGTCCGAAATGGCATTTTCTCAACAATCGCTTTCGTGCTGGGAGGTGCTACCTCGATTCTGTCCGGATACCTGGGCATGCAGATTGCAACGTATGCGAATGCCCGAACTGCTGTCGAGGCACGCAAGGGCATTGCCCCCGCTTTCATGTGCGGTAGGTATGGCTGGTTAGCAAAGTACGACAATCCTCGCTTCACTCTCTTCCTTAAGATGCCTGAATTATTGCACTCCTGACTGACTGTGATCAGCTCTGCTTCTTGCATAACTACACTAGGTGTCCGCCGCCTATGCGATGGAAGGCGTGCAATAAACTGAGTGGTATACTTCACCCGGGGTGTTAACTTCTGCGCAGCGTTCCGCTCTGGTGCTGTGATGGGCTTCCTGCTTTCGGGTTTTGGTTTGCTTAACCTCTTCCTGGCTATCTGCGTGTTCCGGAAGGTACGCTTGCTAATACCCTTCTCCCCGATGCTAGCCTTCAGCGTTACTCTGTTGTCACGGACACGGTTGTCGACAGCGCATCCATGACTTACACTTTTTCATAGTACCGCATGTTGGATTACCAACGTCTGCCCAGCTGTCGGTATATACTAGGTGGTCGTCTGTTGCTCGCCAGCCCTGCCTACTGGGGTGGAAGTTACGCTTCTTGTTGCAGCTACTAACGCTTCACAACGGGACCCGTGCATGCTCTGATCTGCCCAGTTCTATGGCGACGACCTGCGTGGTCTTTTCGAGGCAATCACCGGCTACGGTTTGGGCGGCTCCTCCATTGCGCTGTTTGGCCGTGTGGGCGGCGGCATTTACACCAAGGCGGCTGATGTGGGTGCTGATCTTGTCGGCAAGGTCGAGAAGGACATCCCGGAGGATGACCCCCGCAACCCAGCTGTTATTGCCGGTGCGTTGTATCCATAACTGATGATTAGTCATGGTCCGTTAGCGTTTTTGCTAGGGATCAGATGCTAGGGTTAAGATTTTTAAATGTAGTCCGTTCCAGTGTTCGCTTTGTTTCGGTTGATCTTTGCAGAAGCTTCTTGAGGTTACTTGAAATTCCTGTTTCCATTTCCGAACTGCATGAATTACATGTCGCGTGTGGCCTTCAGTCTATCCGCTTGTTGTTGGTTGCCCCGTAGTGCGCGGCGATGATGCTCAGTAGAACCTTGGCCTTAAGCGGTATCGGGTTACTGAAATATGCATTCCTGCTCCTTGCCCTTACCAACTTCCATACCGCAGACAACGTGGGCGACAATGTGGGCGACATTGCCGGCATGGGCGCTGACTTGTTTGGTTCCTTCGCCGAGTCAACCTGCGCCGCGCTCGTTATTGCAGCGGTGTCGGATCTTGGTAACAAGCACGGCTACACCGCCATGATGTTCCCACTCCTTGTGTCCGCCACGGGTATGTAAGGGCAGTTTTGTATGTTGCTGGTAGTTACTCCGCCCATGCGCCCGTCCGGATGACTATGTAAACGGATACCAGGTCCCTACTTAGTCCATGCCCAGTTACTGGGAACAACATATCGAGTTAGTTACGAGTGCGTTTTCAATACCTCTCCCGCCGGTCTCTACACCGCGTTGCGCCTGCAGGCATCGTCGTTTGCCTGCTGACCACATTCCTTGCTACGGATTTCTACCCTGCCAAGAAGATTTCCGAGATTGAGCACGCCCTTAAGATGCAGCTCATCGTCTCCACCTTGCTGATGACCCCGGTGCGTTGGAATTTTTGATATAGAAGTCTCCATAGCACTATCCACACTATCACACCTTTGCACGTTGTGCTATGCAAACTTTAGTGCTAGAAAGAATAATAGGGGATGTACTTCCGGTGTGGGTTGCATCAGTGTGGCTGCGTGGTGTGTTTGGAGCCTGTCCGTGAAACCCTTGGTAGGTCGGGTGGGTTGTTTTTGGACCCTGCAACTCGCGAATGCATGCCTTTCCTTTTTTGTTTCTGCGCCATTGATTTAGCAGTTGGTATTCCTAAGATTTAACAGTTGGTATGTCCGCGCTGTGCGACCATTTAAAAGGCCTTGCTGCGTCCCTTGCAACGTAAAACACCGCTAAACAGGTTGCTCTGGGTGTTGCTTTCTGGTCGTTGCCCGCAACCTTCGAAATGAATGTGCCCTCGAGCACTCCGGATCAGCCATTTGACGTCAAGGTGCGTGCCTCACTAACTATGGTGGGCATGGCACGGATGACTGTTTAGGCAGAATGGTAGTTGGGATGTTTTGGGCAGTTATTTCTGCAAACCGTCCGATGCGCAACCGGTCTTGAGATATGTCGATTTCCATATGCATGTGATCGCCGTAGTGTCCTAAACTATTGAATTAAGGGATAGTGATCACTCTGAATTGTCCGGTATATATCGGTTGCTGCAGGTTGTGAAAAATTGGTACATGTTTGTGTGCATCGCGACGGGTCTATGGGGCGGCCTGCTGGTTGGTCTGCAAACCGAGTATTTCACCTCGAACCGCTACAAGCCGGTGCAGGTGCGGAGAGCGGTTAATGGTGTGCTCTTTGTTTGGCTTCGGACACCAGGTTTCGGAAAGGCGCAGAGATGTGAGGACTGATTGTGTTGGCATGCTGATGTGCCGGTCACACGCGAAGGCCTGGCAAATCCTAGGCCGGGTTCTGCATTTTGCTGATTAATGGCATACTTGGAGCAGGAGAGGTCCTCCATAAGTCGGAAACCATAAGGCAGTTGCTCATCTACTCCTGGCTCCGGTTATTGTGCGTTGCAGGATGTTGCTGATGCTTGCCGCACCGGCCCCGCCACTGATATCATCTTCGGTCTGGCGCTTGGTTACAAGTCCTGCATCATCCCGACCATTGTCATCGGTGTTGCGATTTACGTTGGAAACACACTGGCTGGCATGTTCGGCATTGCTTGCTGCGCCCTAGGCATGCTGTCCACCCTGGCAACCGGTAAGCAGAGGATTAGTAGGGACGAGATGTGTCATCGCAAGACAGGTGGCACCTTCAAAGCCTCAGCTAATTGCTGCAAGGATTGAAGCTGCAATTACAGAACCGCATCGAGTCGCACGCATTGCGTATGTGCGCATGCCGCGTGGTTTGTGGGCATCAGATGTCCTGCTTGTTGGGGGCCAAACTTTATGGCATTGAGGTCACTGCAACTGCTGGTGCATTGATTTGCCTTCAATTCATTTGCTGTTGCCTTTTGTCTTTAGGTCTGGCTATTGATGCGTACGGCCCCATCTCCGACAATGCTGGTGGCATCGCCGAGATGGCTGGCATGGGCGAGGACATCCGCGAGCGCACCGACGCTCTCGACGCTGCCGGCAACACTACCGCTGCAATTGGCAAGGGTTTCGCAATTGGTTCGGCTGCTCTCGTTTCGCTGGCTTTGTTCGGCGCCTTCGTGACCCGCGCCCGGATTGACATGATTCACTCCTCCATCTTGGAGCCACGGGTCAGTGGCTGTTGTGAACCTTAGTCCTGACCTGATTTGTGCTGCTTACCGAAAAATCGCCAACGCGCCCTCGCACAAGGGAAACCATGCCTTACTTCAGACGTCTAGGGTTCGTTTTTGCAAGCACTGCGGACCGTGCAAACATCCCCAGTGAAGTCATTGCCGTGACCGCTGACCCTAAGGATAAGTTACCCCTGGCATCGCAGGTGTTCGCTGGTCTGCTGCTTGGCGCTATGTTGCCTTACTGGTTCAGCGCGATGACCATGAAGTCGGTGGGCAAGGCTGCTCTGGCCATGGTGCATGAGGTTCGTCGCCAGTTCAACACTATTGCTGGTGAGGTCGTGCCGGTTATGAGCTATGTGTGGTGTGCATTATGCTCCCTGAATATGTAGACTTATGTCGGCGTTGCGTCGCGTTACTGTTTCCCCCTAATACCTCGCCGCAACTCATGTTCCCCTCGCTTCTGACTCTTCATTCCCCGCTGTTTCCGGGATCTGCTTTCTTACAGGTCTGATGGAGGGCACCACCCGGCCTGACTACAAGAAGTGTGTCGCCATCTCGACCCAGGCTGCCATCTCCGAAATGATTGCCCCCGGTGCCCTGGTCATGTTCACCCCCGTCGTTGTTGGCGCTTTGTTTGGCACCCAGTGCCTAGCGGGTGTGCTTGCGGGCAGCCTCGTCAGCGGCGTCCAGCTGGCCGTTTCCATGTCCAACACCGGTGGCGCCTGGGACAACGCCAAGAAGTACATCGAGGTGTGGAAATGGGGGATTCTAATGTAGTGAGTAGTTCGTGCGGGGGCCGTGATTGCAGGTCTAAGGGAAGGGAGGGAGGGGAGGGGAGGCATTCTAGTCGAAATGCTAGCCTGGGAAGACTTTTCTTTGTATCCTTATTCGAATTTCGAATCTGCGAATCGCAGTCACTTTTCGTTTACTCCTGATTGCAGGCCGGTGCTACTGAGCACGCACGCGAGCTGGGCGGCAAGGGCAGTGACTGCCACAAGGCCGCCGTCATCGGTGACACCGTTGGCGACCCCCTCAAGGACACCTCGGGCCCCTCGCTTAACATCCTCATTAAGCTCATGGCCGTCGAGTCGCTGGTGTTCGCTCCGTTCTTCTACAACTGTGCGCACGGCGAGGGCCTCATCTTTGACTTCTTCGGCTGGACACAGTGAAAAGGCGGGTTGTTTGCGGGGCCTCGGATTCCACGCGCGGAGTACCGCGCGTTTACTGGAGATTCCTTAGTGAAGCTTTATTAATTTGGATGAGAATCGACACAGATCAACGATTCGCGCTCAACCCATTGTTGAAGACGTGGTATACGGCCGTGGGTATGGCTGTTGTTGAAATGGTGGTGGGGCGAGGGGTTTCCCCTAACCCAAGGCCTGCCTTTCCCGGGTCACAACATCTCCGGCGTTTATCATGCGGTGGTGTAGTGACGTCGCGCCGTTGCGACGGGGCTGGCGGGTGGGGCAGGTACGCGCCTTGCGTCTGGTGATAAATGCATGTTATCAGGAACTGCACAATCGCTAGCCCTGCCTAAAGCAGAGCCCCACTTTCTTCCTGGGCTATCGTTAGTGGCTGGGAGAGGGAACAGGCATGCAAGATTCCGCCATTAGACCGTGTGGTAGTTCGGAACCTTATAATTGCTGTGGCATGTTTGGGAGCAACGGCAAGTAAGGGTTGTGTCCATGGACCAGCCAAGATTGCGTAAGTGCTTCCGCTTGACAGGATGTGCTGCCGGACCCGGGCCTGGCCTGCTGCTGCTTATTTTTTGCCTGTGCATGGCTTGTTGGCGCCGATCGTTTGTTATGTAAGGTCAACGAGTCGTGTTGTTGAACGGAGTACTCTTTCGGGCTATCCCCGGATAGTGTGCGCGTGTTTTTTATGTTGGCCATTTACAATGCCGGACTGCGAACAGCGTTACTTGCCAAAGGCTATCCTGAAGGTGTAAAACATCTCCCGTGGGAGGGTTGGCGTGCTTGTCTCATCGCCATGCTATGTGGTGAGCTATGGATACATCCCCAAAGATGGATGGCTTAGCCAATGGGGGAAATAACATTCGCCTGGTCTCCCCTGTCAGGGGGTACAGAAGTGAGCCTAAAATGTTCAAAAACGCTGCTTATAAATCCCTAAGTCCCTATTGTTCAAATCCACATGCCACAGCTAGACATGCAAACCCTTTGAACTGCAATAGCAGCAGTTACGACTGTTTGGTTAACAAAGTACCAATTACACTAATGTCAAAAGCCGGTGAAATAATGCTGAGCCCTGGCTCCGGAAAAGCTTGAAAGATACAAGTACGCCACAAACGACGTAGCGGCAAACCAGCAGATCAGCCAGGCGCGGCCATCATAGTCGCAGATGCACCAGACCTGACCAAGGATAGAGTTGCATCCAGGTGTGCGTGTGTGATGGATGAAGTTATCCGTGTAGCGAAGCCTATGGGGTTTATTGATCGGACACCTCCGCCAACCCCAACCCCAAGCAAGACACGTGGGCTGGGCAACATGGTCGACGGCAGCAGTGGTGCAAAAGCCGCTGAAGAGCGGGATGCAGCTGTGGACTGATGTTGCGGACAACGCCATTGGATAAGTTGCGGCACATGATGGCTGTGCCTCGCTGCCATGTGGGTCGCCCACCGGGACGTTTGTTCCGTCTACGCAGTTGGGTGCTAGCGAGCTTCAGGAGTAGCTGGTGGCATTTGCTTTCCGTTCTGAGTGGCCATCCTAGTCGTCAGCTGTTGTTTGCTTTCCCGCCCAGTAATGTTTCATACACGATGCCATGTGTTTTGGTGAGGTGACACGCCTCACAAGTGTGCCCACCGCCGCGGTCGTACTCATGTTGGCGCGGGATAATTAAAGGATGATGTGCTTTGTAGCAAACGGGCATGCGTGGTGTGTAGGCAAGTTTCGTTGTTTGGCGTCATATGTTCCCAGGGCTGAATTTGGCAGGTCACTAGCCAACCAAAAATTGGGCCACTCATTCGTGACTGCTACCTACATTGTTGGCCGGCTGCTCGAAAAGTAAGGATGTCATATGGTAAACCTCTTCCATGATACGCGCTGCAACATCCAGGAAATCGGTTGAGCACCGAGGCACGGTAGCGGAGGTTAGCTTAACCGCGTGCACTGCTCCCGTACTGATTTGTCATGAGTCTTGTAACGGGAATATGCATCCGTTTTCCATCCATCCGTCTGTAACTCTTTTAAGTATTTTCAGTCCGGCAGTGCTTGAGTTATGTTTCGGTCCGTCTCCACGCCACACCCGAACAGGAATTCTCAATCGATATCAATTGCGCATGCAGGACGTTTAGGTTATCGTAGTGTTTTATTCTTTGAGCGAGTCGTTTACCGCTTACTTCCAGGTAACGATTTACGCGCAACGCTAGAGCGTTGCTAGAGCAGACAGATGAAATGATATAGATTTATACTTTCTGTGCGAATCTCGGCTTGTCCAGCGCTTGTTGCTTGTGAACGGATGGCAGGCCGAAGGTTGTGCTCCCTATAACTCTGCTTGATTGCAGTTTCAGCTACTATGACGGCGACACCGGTAGAGCCAGCCGCGCTGGCTGAGCTCACGGCAGCTAAGCAGTTGGGAATGGACCAGGCGGCGGTGAAGGAGACGGTGAAGGAATACTATGGGGAGGTGCGCTTCTGTGAACAGGTTACGCCATATGCCGTGACAGAAATCGTCGAAGGGAAGCCATATGTGTAGGGAAGCCTTATGCGGAAAACTTTTAGATGGGTGCGTGCATCAGTAATCATGGCGGTGGGTGCGTGCTTCGGCATCTGGACATCTGGCATAGATCTTCTCCTGCATTATGTGTCCTGCCGCAGGTAAACATGTGGGCGAACCGGGCAATCTGTGTATCACATAACCCAACCGCCTTCCGTCCCACCACTCGCCTGGCTCTCTCGCCACCCTCTTTCCCCAAATAAGCTGCCTCCCCTCCACACGCTTACCTTCCTGCACCCTCTTCATCCTTCGTGACACTCTCACACACGCGGAGAAGCAGCAACACGACCTCTCCTGGCAAATGGCAACCCTCTCCATGACCACTCTCCCGCCTGCTGCCCCGGGCATCACTCCCACAGACACTCAAGGGTACAGGCGACCTGCGCACCTCCGCATGCACAGCCTGCAAGGCACCTCCGCCTGCCGTACGTGCCGCGCTGGGAGCTGTGCCCAGCGAGATCAAGGACAAGTTCTACGGCTGCGGCAACCCCATCCCCACCGGCATTGAGGGACTGCGGGTGCTGGACCTGGGCTGTGGCTCCGGGCGGGACTGCTACGTGGCGGCAAAGCTGGTGGGAGAGAAGGGCACCGTGACGGGTGGGTGCGGTGGGGCGGTCGGGGCAACGGAGGGATTGGAGGGAAGGGCGGTTATGTGCGGTTGTTTGTTTGCTACATATCGATCCAGGCCTGACGCTGGCCAGGGCCACCTAACCGTATACCCCAACGGGAACGACCTCCGAAGCACTCTCCTCCTTGTGGGGGGAGAGGTATGTGATGGGCCCGCCTGCTCGACCGAGGGCGTGCAGTAACCCCGCGTTTTTCCCCGCTGTCAAGAGGAAAGAGAGCGCGGTGGCTACCAAGGCCCACAACCAACCTCAGCATGCGCTGCGGCACAGTTCCGTCCATGCAGCCTTTGCGCCGTGAGCAGCAGGCGCGGCTGCGCGCCCTGGGTCCTTGCAACACCTGGGCGCCCTGCCCCACCGGCGCCTTAAGCTCACAAGCTGAACCCTACAACTAAAACTGACCACACTACAACGTCCCTCCGCAACGAACTACCTGGCAATTCCCCGGCCACGGAAAGTTGTGTCAGGCCCCGCTCAGCCAGCCAGCCAGCCCCACCAGGGGTTTATTTCAGTCCGAGTCCATACATATCCATGCATGCAAGCATCTGCGTACCTATGTACGCATCTATGTACGTATGTACACCGAATTACTGTCAACCCATGCAAAGCCAGGCCCAAGCACATTTCCGCATTCCCGATCACCGAGCCCTCATTGGCCATCATCGGTTCATGTGAGTGTCTTTTGCATGTTGTCTGCATAATGTAAATATTCAGTTCCCCTCCTCCCTCCTCCTCCTCCTCTTCCCCCCAAGATATGACCATCCACATGTCCGATAGTACGTCTCCCGTTACACTCCCTACGTTTTAAGTTTCCGTCCACATCTCCTCTGGGTCATATCCGACGCCTTCTCCAGGCGTGGACATGACGCCCCCACAACTGGATGTGGCCCGGGCGCACTGCAAGAGCTATTGCTGCGAGACCCTGGGCTACGGCCAGCCGAACATGCAGTTCGTGCAGGGGGAGATCGAGTACCTGGACCGGGCAGGCATTGAGGACGAGAGCGTGGACCTTATCATCTCCAACTGCGTGGTGGGTGAAGAGGGCCTTGGCTACTACTAGGGTGACTAGGTGCGTGAGGGGCCGAACGGGGAAAATCCGGTGAGGCTGCTGTAATATATGTACATAGGGGGTAAGGGGGGATGGAACGGGGTAGGTGGTGTTTGGTGGGTGCCGAGTTGGGGGTACGACGAACCACAGACGATTGAGGAGAGGGGAAAACCGGGAGACGGCTACTCCAAGTTGATACTCCGAGTTGGGGGCTGAGGTGAGATGTGGTCACACGATGGATGAGGGGGCTGTTGGTGCTGTTGCTGACCGGGGGGGGTGTCAGACCTTCCCACCTCGCGTAGCTGGCAGTTATGTGCTTGGCCTGACATTCTTGGTAGTACGCGTGCCACCGCCATGTCCAACTCCCGTTGTGTCGTACCGTAATAGCTCCTGCTGCTGCCACGGCATTGGCGGCGTTGGCGGCGAGTGTTGGCTGCTGTGCGGCAGGCGGATTTCCCGTCGGATTTCCCGCCGTGTCGTGGAGGACGGAAGTTCCCCTCCCCCTGCGTCCCCACTGGCTTGGGCTCCCTCCCTTCAAACTTCCGTGCCCCGATAGATCAACCTGTCTCCGGATAAGGCCCGGGTGCTTTCGGAGTCATACCGCGTGCTGGCGCCCGGAGGCGAGATGCACTTCTCTGACGTGTACTGCGACCGGCGGCTGCCCGCCGCCATACGAACCCACCCCGTCTTGCTTGGGGAGTGCCTGGCGGGGGCGTTGTACGTCAACGACTTCATCCGGCTGTGCAGGAAGGTGATGCCGGGGGCAGCAGGGGGGTAGGGGGGTTTCGTGGCAGGTGTGGCAGATGTGGCGTGATGCGAGTTTTGTGACACGAGTTGAAGCCGCCCGGAATGTCATACATACATACATACATACATACATACATACATACATACATACATACATACATACATACATACATACATACATACATACATACCAGATGCAGATGATTACGTAGCCGATTAGTATGCAGGTGGTTGACACGTCTCCATTTGAGCTGTTCGATCCGTGTCTTGTTTTAGGAATTGTTTTTGTTGTTATTAGGAAACGAGTCTGTCTGTCTGTCTGTTATTGCGCTGGTGATGTGGTCTTGTAAGGCACGGCACCGCTGCCGTACCTGACATGTTGTTTTGGCCCGGACATCAAAACCCAAATCCCCGGGCCCCCCACACACACACCTCCGGGGCTGTTCCCAGGTTGGCTTCACGGATCCTCGGCAGCTGGAGTGTGAGGAGATTACCTTACATGACCCCGAGCTCAGGGTACGTGTTTGATTTATGTGTGGTGGGGGGAGGTGCTGTGGGGCAGGAGTCAGGGTCTTGGACTGGTAGCGGGTGCGGCTGCGGGAGAGAGGGATGCCGATGATGCAGGTGGTGCCGCATGTGGGTTGCTTCGGGGGGGAGAGCGATGGTGGCCTGGTATGGTATCGCGGTAGGCACGAGGATAAGGAGGGGGGAGAGGGGTAGAGGGGGTGCGGGGCGCAATCGGGGTACGCACATTGGGGGTTGCATCGTGGGGGGGGAATCACGGGAGGCGGCAGGTGGGAGAGTGTGGGGCAAGGGCTGGGGCAGTGCGAAGGTACTCCGAGTGCGCGGTATCCTTGAGTGAGTGCTAATCTTGCTGCTTAGTTTTCTTTCGTTGGCTGTGTACTGCTGCGGTACTGCCACTGTACTGCTGTAGGACTTGGTCGGCGAGGCGCGCTTCTACAGCATCACGTACAGGTGGGCGGTTTTGAAGGAGGACCGTTTTGCCGTATGCAAAACGTACATTGATGTTGTCAGTCGCTGGTTGGCTGCAGTTTGGCTGCCTGGTCCTTCCTTCCTTCCACTTGAGACCCCTATGTGTGTGTTTGTGTTTGCCACCCGCACCGTTACCCACTCCCGCATGCCTCTGCACGCACTCGCCCGCGCGACTGCCTGTCCATATTCCGTATGGCACCTTCCCTTATGTACGGTACTTGCCGGGCCGACCCATGTACAGGGTGGTGCCTCTGCTTGCTTGCACTTCCGCCGCCACTGGGGACTCTAGGTACCCTAGGAACGTCTTATCTGTCCCCGTCCATGTAAAATTATTAGGTGGTGACAATGCCTTAGGGTAGTGAAGGAATGTTATTTGTGCTGCGGTGCCTCCTCCCCCCCCTCCCCCT